TTTCATTTAGCTTGATGGCTTCCAGACTCTCCGCGTTTATTGTGACATGTCGGATATAGTAATGTTTACACAATGACTCGTCTCCCTAGCATTTCTTTCTTCCTCTCTCTCTGCATCCTCCTCCAGTCACCAAGATGAATGGATTTACTTTAGTCCTTCAACCTTTGGGGTTTGGGAACAACCTCAGAATGACCTCTTTGAGAGAGAGGGACAAATTGAGAGAGAGGAGTGTAGGAGTGCAGTCATGGCTGTGTTATGGCTACAGGCGGGACGGACTGAGATGATGGATAGCGTTAAACGAGTGTCTGACTTCCAATTCATCACCAGTTCCACGGCATCTCCACCTCTCCTCCAGCTCCGCTAGTGTGCGACTCTACTTAAAGCTGTTTTAAAACAAACTCTTGTTTCCCCCATGGCAGGAAAACCACTTATAGCAAGCCTACTGGAAAAAAAACAATATTCATATGGTCATACAACAATGCTTACTCATACATAAGGACATCCAGACAAACTCATGCATCACTGAGCAGGCTGTGAGAGTGGGTGGTGCTATTGTTTACTGGCCTTGGGCAGTAAATCAGGATGATGGCCATGGTGTGTTAACCTCTGTGTGTTTGTGTGTCAGGGGATGAGACATCACTGCAGACTACAAATGCAGTGTGCTGTGAATTACAGCCCATCTCTCATCAAACACACTTTCACAGAGCCATAAATTACAGCCCGTCTCTATACAAACTATGAAGCCACATCCACCGAGATATGTCTTGCTCAGCATGAGGAAGCATAGTCGAGCTGACTATCACAGCTTTGTCAATAATAAAATGCGATCATCGCTTGTAATGCTTTAAAGAGAAGCTCATTTGCAGTGTAGACTTAAGGCTAACAAAATGGCACAAGATCAATACATGAGCACAACTTTCTGAATTAAGGAAAAAAAAAATGCAGGCACAGTTTTGTATAGGGATCATGTCCTGTTTATTTAATAGTTTAAAAATGTGCCCCATCCAATCAGATTTTAGAGTTAAAAATATATATTTTATCCAGCTTATTTCTACGATACGAACCATTTTTAACTTTAAGTGCAAGGCTTCCAGTGTCAACCGCTTCCAGTTATTTTACAAAAAAAGTCCATTATGATGCTTGGTGTTGCTAACTGGTTATTGTTAGGCTATATTATTTTAATAATTTTTTTAACTATGCAAATGTTTTACAGCACTTTGTTATTCTAGTTATTTACTGTACCTATAGCATTATGAACCTTCAGCTGAGCCTTTAATGCCAGTGTCAAGCACATGGAAATGAAAACATTCATACTAACACACATACACTCCTGAAGCTTCAGACATTTGTGAGACTACAGCACTCAGCGAGTGCTCCGCTATCTCAAGAGCTCTCCACATCTATCCATCCAGCTCTTAAAAACTCTCATCTGGCTCAAACTTCATCTCTCTGCCTCTTCATTCCTTCTCTTCAGCCTCTATTCCCCTCTTTTTCAATCTCTTGACAATGTCATTGTCAGAGAAATTACACAATCCACACAGGCAGGGGTGGCGCCAGAGAATTTTTTACGCAGGTGCTGAGAGGGTGCAAGATCATTGACAGGGGGAGCTGCTCATTTATATATATATATATATATATATATATATAAATATAGTTATAGATATAACTGACCAGGTTCTGTTATTTGTTTACAACCAAACCAAGTACTAAACATACATAAATATTACATTGTGCATTAGACATGAGAGAGAGAGAGAGAGAGAGAGAGAGAGAGAGAGAGAGAGAGAGAGAGAGAGAGAGAGAGAGAGAGAGAGAGAGAGAGAGAGAGAGAGAGAGAGAGAGAGAGGGTATCTGGAGAGGGGTCTGTAGTGAGCGACCTGTCCAAGTCCAAATGTGGCCAATACAATGTCAGTCTCAATTTATACACATAATAAAATTACTTCATAAAAACTTCATAATAGGGATTTCAATTTACAGAAATTACCACTGTTGTTTAATTAATCAATTAATCACCGCTCATCGTGACATTTTAAATCCAAAGCGGTTTGCTACCAAGTTATCACATTACTTAACAGCCACTTGCTTACCTAACACAAAATAGGTGTCATTTTAAAACTTAGAAACTTGCCTTTACATTGAATATAGAGATCATGATCATTACTTAACAAGTGCTTTTTAATTAGCTGACATATTAGAAGTACTCTATTTTCATAGCGAGAAAAAATAACTGTTTGACATAAAAATATGATCTGTAAAAGAATCTTACAAAACAATCCATAAGAATAATCGTACTACTTCATAGTTGCGTTCAATGTACCCTCTAATGTTTTGCAACTTTACTGGTGTAAAAAAGTATGTTTGCAAACAGTTTGGTCCCACTTTTAACAGCATGGAGGGAACAAAACAATTGCAAAAGACATAAAATATACATAAATACTGCTATAAAGTCTCAGAATGTGAAAAGAAGTAATTAACTGGTCACAGTTCATTTGAAGGACCTTTACATAGCTGTTTTCAGTCTAACTACCTTGATCCGAAATCGAGCAAAAAGGCTTCTTCGAAACGCGAGACGAGGGCGATGAATACACTAATTGAGGCAGGCTGGTTGGCAGCCACCTGCAGGCTATGTAAGAGAGACAGTAATTAAGTCGAACATTTAATGATTCTGCTTAATAGGAGTGAGAGATGGAGCAATGAGGAGAGAAAAAAAAGAAAACAAGTAACAATTACAAACAACATGAAGAAGGAGAGAAGAAGAGGAGAAAATAGGAGAGCAGAGAAGAGGGTCTAATTTGGCTAAAGAACATGTTAGGTGGGAATCTATGCAATCAACAGGTTGAAACTCACAAGAAACTTCCTGTTGTCACACAAACACATATTAAGCAGAACAAGACCAACTCTAAGATATTTTGTCAGTTAGCATATGTCAAGTCTGATGCATGCAACTCGCTTCTCGATCCTTTCTGCCTCCAACTTTTTATCACCTTCCCTCTCCAGCTTTCAAAATGGCCTACAGACCAATAAATAATCTAAGGTCAGTTTTGCTTTACTCTTGTGGAGTTTAGTCTATATATTTCCCCTCAGAGGTGATGGTTCCATCTCATCTAGCTGTTGAATGTGAGGCATTTTGTGAGCGTCAAACAGACGCAAAAAGTGTGAAAAACAACAGCGAGTCTCTCTCGATGGCTCCAGGCAAATATTGACATCTTTTCTGTTGCCTGTCTATCTGCTCTTCAGTCCTGCGTTCTCTTTCTTCTTTTATTTATAAGGGTTAAGAGTCTGAGTGACGGGTAATCCTCTGTAACAGAGAGCAGTGTCCTGTGTACACTCAGTGTCTTTATCATCCTAAAACCCTTCAATAAAAATACCACAGTTCATTTGCACCTGTGCTTTGGAGGACGATCCTCCTTGCTCCATCCCTTCTGCCACTGAAAGGATTTGTATATGGCAAGGAGAGAAGGGGATGTGAAGGAGAGAGGGAAAATACAGAGAAAAGACACATTTAAATGGAAATAGAGTCTGGAGGGAGACGAAGTGGCCTGGCAGTCAGTGAGAAGAGAAAGCATATTTGTGTACTGTTTCCCAAGCGCCAGCTTTTCAGAAGCAGAGGAGGCGGGCATGTGTTAGTTTAAGGTGCATGAAGAGAGTTTTAATCCTTTCAGAGGGGTCGTAATGGCCACGGAGAGGCGTCTCCAGGAGGGAAAGCCTTTCCGAAAAAAAGAAAAAAAAAAGGGACGCAATTCAGCACCCCTCTGAACCACACAAATCAACCCTCTAAAGACCTTCAAAGAGCAGAATGTGGGAAATGTGTTTGGAGTCCCGAGGGAGTGAAGTAAAGGGAAAAAGGCTTGTCGGCATCAATCAGTTGTTCTCTCTCACGTCCTCCCCGGGGTCAGATCTCTTTCCAGACTCCGTCGCCCCCTCCCCACCCCACCCATCATGCTCTCCATCCTAGTAACGCACCATTACAGAGGAATGTGGATTCACAAGGCTGGGCTCTATTATGTTGGCCTGCCTGGGGTTTGTAAAATGGGGGAGCTCAAATTCCAAAGGCTTTAAGAGCAAATTAGCAGTGTGCTGATGGGCTCCTGCTGTCTAAAGACACTGAGGTTTTAAAAGCAACTCAACTGACTCCGCTCTCAATGCCTCGGATCCTTTGACTTCTTACCGCAGTCTCAACACGAACAAACTTCCTACGCACATGGCAGGACGTTTACATGCACACAAAGAACAGACGGTGCGCACATCGCAGCTCCTCAATGTATAAATTCAAAGCGGGCTTTTTAAAATAGACACGGCAAACAATATCGCACACGGAGTATCAAGCCAGCAGGGTAGAATTGCTTCTTCTACTACCGTCTGTGCCGCAGATCCAGCACCTTTATTTAGCATTTCACAACTAATCAATTTCCATAACAGAAGCCAGACGCCACTGCACATGGGACCCAGTGTGTGGCGTTTACACATGCTGCGCGCCTGAAATGGATTTTCTCATTCATCACTCAGCAGCACATTGGGATCTGTTTAACAGAGTGGCTCGGATGGATTTCTCAGAGCCCATACGCTGTGAGAAAGCACGGATACAACACACTGTGTCTGTCAATGGAATCGCAGTCGGCCTCGAGGAAATGCGTTATTTCCCGTGCCGCCCCAGAAAGCAAAACACATCAAACGTAATCTGAATGTGATATTGGTAAATAAGGTTGTCTGGTATAATGTGACGGATTCAAGTTCGTCTCGCAACACATCAAAAACAGCACGCTGCTTCCGGAAATCATACAATACCTACATTATAAAACATTGCAAGGACTGGATTATTTCTCACATATTTTAATGTAATTTTGTAAAGTGTAATTTTACAGAAAACAACAATCATTTTGAGTATGTGCCTCCATGGGACAGGTATAATAATCTGTCAACAGCAATTTCACTATTACAGAACTGTAATTTACACAATACACAGCATATTGGCAGTATGGAATAAAGAAAGACAACCATACCTTTAACTGCAGCTGTGCTGAAGAGTTTCTCTGAGCTGGCATCTGAGCCCTGAGAGAGAGCGACAAAAAGAGAGTCAGTACATCTGCTTCAGAACTAAGCAGGTGGGCTTCATCATCAAAGGTAGCGCAGCACTAATGAGCGCAAAGATTCAGTCTCTTCCAAGAGCGGCCACTGGATGGCACTGTGGCTCCATGCGCAAAACGATGCGCTGCACTTGAAACGGGTTGAAAGCATTAACATTGATGTTATTGTGCAAACATCCAGCATTGCAATTTACACAGCATTTAGGTAATGAACGCCTATTTAAGTGACAATGTGATGTCAAAGGGGCATCGGCTAATTAAATTGGCTAACCAGCAACAAAGATAGAACCATTGCAGTCCATCCATTAGCATCTGACCTGGCTCTCCACTCTTGCAATTATTAACCAAGAAAATAATAACAAACAGAAAAATTTATTTTGCGTTAAGTTAAATTGTAAAGATACACCTTGTAGCCTACGTCTTTCATTGGATACACATTGGACACAAAACAGCTCATTTGAACACAATTATTCTGACAGGTTTAGCAACACAATATCCATAACCAGCTCGAGGCAAAAACGATAAAAGTTACGAAAACCCTCCCAAATATGTGCACATTTTAAGTAGGCTACATTTAAAACTAGCTATGTATATAAAATGTCATGGTAATTTAAAGATCTAAAATTGTCAATAATAATGATTATAATAATAACAAGGTGATATGCATTCATTAACACATGACGTCAAGAGATTTCCACATAACGATGCGTTCGCGTGACCGCTAGTTTTTTTATTCAAACCACAAACAAAAACATCAGGCAACATTCACTGCAGAGATTTCAAATATATTTATTCACAACCAGCGACAAGAAAAAGAAAACAACGCTTAAAATCCTCCAGCCATCGAGTAATCCAATGAAACTGCTGTAAAATTTCCATAAAACGTCGAATGACATTGAGGTAATCGATCTGAACTAAAACATTTTTTTGAGGGATATGAAGGTGCGGTGTACCTTTCAATGTGGCGAGATTGGCACGGAGGAAAATAAGTCAAGAAATCACTTTTAGTAGGTTTCGTAAATACGCCGTTTCACATTCTGCTTGTCAAACAATGTAATCCATAAACAGGCGGCGAATTCCTCTCGCTCTCTTTGAGAGAATGACAGCCATGCAAAATAAGAAGACTTTTCCCATGGAAGAAGAGGAGGAAGAAGAAAAACATCCAGAGCTCAAAGCAAGAGAGGCTCCCGGACAAAGGCAGACATGTGTCTGGAACCCAAGAGCGCTGAAAAGTGGAGAAATCCTTCAGTTCGCCCCCTTCGCGCGAATTGACCGTTTGAAATCCTCGCCAACCGTCGCTTCACGGTAGCTGCAGCTTATGTGCTTTTGTGTCAGGGGCGCGCTCAGTGACAAACCATCCGCGCGCCTCTCTCCCGTGCGCTTGTGCAGAGCTAGAAAATCCAACAAAGCGTACAGTATTTTCCTCCTATATGCAGATTGGGTGGAGTAAAACCGCACTAAAAACCTCGACCGCCGCTTCCTTTCTTCGAAATCGTCGCTCGTTTCAAGCTCGTGTCCTGTCGCTGGCTCCCGTTCCTCGCGCAAGTGCTGCCTGTATCCATACAAACTCTCTCATTCACCCACAGCGCGACCGAGTCCTCCCACTTCCTGATTCTAACCTGACTTCATTCAGCTTCTACCCCCTGCTTCTTTCTGCCTCGCACACACGGAGCGTGCTTCCTTCGCTCAGCTTCACCGGACAGACGATGTGTGTGAGAGCGCGCGCGAGGGGGTGTGCGCGCGGTGCTCAATGAGAGTTCCTGGTAGCGGAGTCCTAAGTGCAAACAGGAGATGGAGCGACCAAGAGAAAGAGAGAGAGAGAGGAGGAGGAGGAGGAGGAGGAGGGAACTGGGATAGAATGATATTCTTTCACTCTCTGGCCGGAGTGAGGATGATGTCAGCTACTAATGAATTTCCCAGTAGGGTGCAGCTACTGTGAAGGGGAGGGAGACAGAGACTCTCTTCATGAGCAGCACACACCTCTCTGGTTCCCTCAGCCACAGCCTTCTTCATTGGGGTTAAAATCACCCAGGCTGACCCAGAAAAGCACAATTTGCCCTGCTGAATAATTAGCAGGGGCAAAGATGTCCAAAAAGGCTCCAAAAATTTTGCTGAGAAATAGATCCATTACACTATCAATAGAGTAGAAAACCACACACAACAGTCACTTTCAAACCAAGCAGTGTTCTGGTGGTCAAAAAATTGTGAATTTGAAACATAAAAAACTTAGCCTTTGCGTGAAATTCCAGATAACATGAATTATTGAAATGACAGGATTTTGCTCACAAATGTTTGGCAAGCAGCGGTAAATGTGACAACACCTTTAGAAAATAACAAGATGGCAAGCTGCACTGTTTGTTGTTGGGACTAACATGGAGGGATATTTAACACCAGGAAAAAGAATTAAAGACTGAACTGATCAACCACGTCTTTAGCAATTATACGCTAAGACCGATGCTAATTGTGTTTCCAAACCATGGTGTAATATTTACCTCCTTCCCCCAGGGTTTGCGGAAAAGCCTGAAGATCTAATTCCACTAACCTCAGTCCATGGCCACTCAAACCCAAACAATCCGGCAATCTTCAGATAAAGCCGGACATTCCTGGAAAATCTCCTTAATCTGACTGATTTGGGGTCCTGTGGCTTGGCAAACCAGTTTTAACCCTCTGCACTGCGGGTCAATGGATTAACAAGGGACTCGCATTGCAGTGACCTCTGACCTTGACTGGCCCCAACAGAGGAAGAGAATGAGTTAGCTTATTGCTGGATCTCCTTTGAGCCACGCTCCATCAATATAACACCACATGCACTCAACCTCCAACATCTGCCTCAACCAAACAACAGACATGAGTTTATTTTTCTGTGCGAGTTAAAATAAAGTTCAACATGTGTAATCTATTGTGAACAAAATTGCTGGAAAATTAAAAAGTATTATTACATTATTTGCAACAAATCAATGCCATATATATATGAGGGTTGATAAGGTACACAACAGTTTTTTACATTTAGGGTAACATGGTGAGTCTGAAATGTTCTTAGTGAGTCAACTGCTACGTAAAGCTATTTACAGGCATTGTTCATGTTAACTAATGCATTAACTAATGTTATCTAACCACGCTGTTGATGAGAATTGATGCATTAGTTCATGTGTGAGTTAATGTTAACAAATATTAACTAATGCTGAACAGAGGTGTCGTTCATGTTATTAAATCATGTTAACTTTTGCTCTTAAAAATACAAGATGCGCATAATCCAACTGCAGAGCCGCAGCGCTGATTGATGGAAAAGAAGGCTTGGTCTCATGCTCGACACGTTGAAAAAGATGTGAGATGTGGCGCAGTAGTCAAAGACTTTCATCTAGTGCATATATTTACATAATAAACTATTGAAAAACAGCGGCGGTTACTGCAAACAGAACGGAGTAATCACTGCATCTCCATACTAATTTTATGATTGGCCCAAAGCAGACTTCTTACGTCAGTGCGGTATGACTTCATACTCATATTGGTAATCTTCATTCTGCACTCACACACAGCATCATGATGGCAATTTACTGGTAATGTTACAACTTTCCTTACTGGTAAATTGCCACAACCAATTAACCGGTATTTTTGAACAGGTATTTTGGATTTGCAACAAATATGCCAAGATAAAATTTTAACAGGAAACATTTTCAATTTTATTCCCAATTTGGTAACACTTTACTTGAAGGGGTGTGCATAACACTAACATGACACCTTCATAATCATGACATGACATGTTATGAATATGAAGGAAGTTTTATGCATGTTTGCGACAACTGTCATTAAGTGTCATTCGCTCAGTTATAACATTTTTAATGCAAATATGACATTGTTTGAGATGTCTTTGTTATGACCCCTTGACAAACCAATCATAACATGTCAGTGTCTTTGTCATGACAACTTTACTAAGACAACACAACCTGTCATAAACATGACATAGCAGATTAATTATCAAACTTAAGAAATGACCTAGCTTTATTGGTTAACAAAACATTAAACTGTCAGGTGGTTGGTTTTAACATTGGCTCTCATGAAGCCATTAATGACAAATTTAATTAGTAGTTGAGGTCACGAAAAATATTCATGACAGTTATAATGGACTCATGACAGCCATGTCAAGCCAACCACATGACAGTTTAACTTAAATTTCTGTCAAGTTTTCATGACAAAGACACTGACAGGTTATGATGTTCTGGTTTATGTCAAGTCATAACAAAGACATTGTAATATTTGCATTCAAAATGTCATTATTGAGCGAAAGTCACTTAATGACAGTTGTCATAAACATACATGCATAATGTCTATGGAGGTGTCATGTCAGTCTTATGCACACCCCTTCAAGTAAAGTGTTACCCAAAAGGGTTAGAGATCCAAGTATCATAATAATTCTTTTTTAAAGGTCCTCCTCACACATTTTAAGTATAATTTACCAGTAATGGCTGTATGTGTGAAAGGTTCGTCATATGGATAAACTGACAGTAAGAAATAAATTAAATATAGTGATCCCAAGTGATCCGAGTGAAGTCAATGCCACTCGAGGGAGAGGAGGGGGTAGGCTTTTAAAATACTTCCCCTTACACATTTTTGCCCTCTGCTAATTTCTGTCTCGCAACAAGCCTGAGGTTATCTAGGTTTAGCCCACAGACTTTCAGAATACAGAGGCAGCTGAAGCTTATTAGACCCATCAGACTGACAGTGTAGGACAGGTTTAGTGCTGCTTAGGGGCCCCCTGCTCCCAGAATCAGGTGGTCAGCAGGGCCACTATCGAAAACCATTGAGAGTTTCAAGGAAACATAATTGGTAATTATCCAACATAATTGGTAATTATTTATACAAAGTGCAGTTATGGATCCATGTTCAAGCAATGAGTTCTACTGACCCTTTTAAGCACTTTAATTGCAGTTGCAAATAAAATGCCAGGACAAAATTGTAACAGGAAAC